AAAAAAAAAAAAAAAAAAAAAAAATTACCCAAGCCCTAAGGCATTAAAGAACTTCACCTACCTAACTTTGTAGTTTTTTACTTTTTTTTTTTTTTTTTTTTTTTTTGAGACAGGGCTTCACTGTCACCTAAGCTGTAGTGCAATGACACGATCTCGGCTCACTGCAGCCTCTACCTCCTGAATTCAAGCTATCCCATCTCAACCTCCTGAGTAGCTGGGAACACAGGCACGTGCCACCATGCCTGGCTAATTTTTATATTTTCCATAGAGACAGGGTTCGCCATGTTGCTCAGGCTGGCCTTGGAATCCTGGGCTCAAGGGATCCTCTTGCTTCGGCCTTCCAAAGTGCTAGGATTATAGGCGTGTGCCACCATGCCCAGCCCTTTACTTTCTTATAATAGAAATTTAATGGAGATAATACTGTAGATGTAAAGGTATCGTTTTAGTCATCTACAGAAAGTACTAGGAACAATTAAAACAAGTCACCATAGTCTTATGGTTGTCATTGGGAAAGCCTTTGTTTGACCTAACTGTAACATGACCTTTGATAATATTTCTAGGGAATCTCGTACCAAGCAGCAATTTTTTTTTAACATAAATTATTCTACTGGATAGAAATAACAGATAAAATTGTGAAGGGGAGGGAGTTGTTTCGAAGCTGTTCATTTTTTTTTGTTTTTAACCTAATGACAGCCCACTAAGGTTAACCAGTCTTAATATCTGGTCTGTTAAGTGGATTAATTCAAATTTGTGCTAAGGATTTTAATTGGTAGAAATAAAACTCTAGACAATTTTATTTAGGGTCTAAATTATTTTGAAATCCCCAGTAGGGTAGTTTCTTATCTTTTGGTTACATTTTAGGTCGTTCAAGCCCTCAGTTAGACCCTTTGAGAAAAAGCCCAACCATGGAACAAGCAGTGCAGACCGCCTCGGCCCACTTACCTGCTCCAGCACCTGTAGGGAGAAGGAGCCCTGTATCAACCAGGCCTTTGCCATCTACCAGCCAAAAAGCAATAGAGAATCAGGAGCACAGGAGAGGTAAAACTTCAGCTGTTTACTGTTCCTTAATTGACTGATCAATGTTTTCCACTCACTTTATTTTCATTAAAAGGGTTTACTTCAGATGAATGATCCCAGAAAATTAAACTGAACGTAATAGAATGTTTGGTCTTTCAAATTTGATTCAAAGTATTAGTGTTGTGGGTATAGATTTTTGGGTATTGCACAGGCTTTGTTTTAGGTTTTTCGGTTTGTTTGCTTGTTTTTATTTCTAAAGTTTTTGATTATGTTTTTGATCATGTGCCTGAGTTGATTTGGCACTTTGCATGTCTTCTATAGCTGAAGTACACAAAGTTTCAAGGCCAGAAAATGAACAACTCAGAAATGATAACAAGAGACAAGTAGGTAAGTTCTTGGATCTGAAAGTCATATTCTATGCCTCTCAACAGGGAAAATGTTTTAAATGTATGATACATAATTACTATAAACAAATGAAAGGCAGGGATTGTGACTGTAAAGGAGGAGCACAGGGGAGTGTCACTGTGGTGACAGAACAGTTCTTTATCTTGATTGTGATGGTGGTTGTGCAAATCTATATATGGTAGAACGTCATAGAACTATGCATAAAGACATACCAAAAAATGAGTACATGTACAAACTGGTGACATCTGAGCAAGGTCTGCAGTTTAGTTAATTAGATTGTGCCTGTGTTGGTTTCTTGGTTTTGATAATATAACATAGTTATACTTGTCACTGCTAGAGTTTGGGAAGTTGGGTTGATGGGCACAAAGGACCACTCTGAACTAGTTTTTCCATTTTTTTCTGTCTATTATTACTTTAAAATGAAAAGATTTTTTAAAATTTTACTTTTCTGGGAAAAAATTCCACTTAGTGGTAGGCAGTTATCTTTTAATACATTCTTGAGTATTTCCTGTTAGTAGGGTTTCTTCATTTATATTTACATTGTTCTACTTTTGTGGTTCTTATGTTTTGTGTCAGTTTCATGTTAGGGTTATAAAATTGATTGTTTTCATTGTTTTCTGTGCTTTGGGGAATGGAATTATCTATATGTTACAAATTTGAAATGTTTTCTCATTAAAATTAAGCCCAGAGGCTGGGTGTGGTGTCTCAGGCCTATAATCCCAGCACTTTGGGAGGCTCAGGTGGGTGGATCACGAGGTCAAGAGATGGAGACCATCCTGCCCAATATGGTGAAACCACATCTCTGCTTATCTGTTTTATAATATATAACATTCCCAAATATTTTATTAATATTTTCAAATCTATTAATGGAAAATAAATTGTAATTTTAAAACTCTTCCAAATTAAAAAGACGGTATATAATCGCCTTATTTAGAAAGTGATTGAAAAATGACCTTTCATTTAATTTTAGAAACCTAGATATATTTTTTAGATGTATAAATACTCTTATTTCTCCTCTACGTTTGTGGTTTTTTTAATATTCTGTACGTCATGGAATACAGAATTTTTTTTTAAATTTGACTCATTTCAGCTTTTTTATTCAGAAAAAGAGAGAGCTTCCCTCCCAAAATAAAATAATTGCTATACTATCTTTCATTGCTCTTCAAAACTCACCCCACCAAAGAGGTTCATTAACAGAACAGTGAATAATCTTCCAGATTCTTTTGTAGATTTTACAGACAGACATCTATACCTAAAACATTTTTTTTAAGACAGAAGGATTATGGTGTAATTCTGGCTTGTGGCTGAGGCATTTTTTAATAGTAGAGGTGAATGTTTTAAACATCCTGCTTATCTAGATGTATGTCTGGGTATGCTGCTATGGGGTTTTGTGGTTTGTTGTCTCAAACCCAGGCAGCTTGCCAAACCTCAGCAAACAGCACAAACCTGTCTGTTAACCTGTAGTCACTTCTCATCCCATGTGTGGAGCATTTCACACAGTTGTGATCATTAAACTCATACTGCTTTCTGCTCTACATTTTTCAATTAACATAAAATATTCTTCCTCGTTTTTTTTTCTTGTTAGTCATTTCTCTTGGATATTTGGGTTCCCACGTTTTTCACTATAAATTATGCTACTTTGTATTGCTTTATCATGTCTCATATAATTGGCTGAAATCTTACTATGTTATAGAGAAGAGAATATATAGATACAAGGCTTGAATAATGTAAAACCATCTAGAGGGAGACAGTAAAGATGGAGTCACTAAGGAAGGGTACTTGTCTGTTTTTTTAATCTGTGAAGTGGAAATAACACCTATTTTCTTGCAATTTGTGCCAATTAGTGTTTATTTTTCTTACTATAAATCTTGGTTTCTGTTATTCTTTCCATCAAAGGCTTTCTATATTTTGAGAACCAACTATGTGTCTGGCACTTAGTTTGCAGGTGTTGGGGATATAGCAGTAAGGAAAACAAAGCCTCTGCCCTCAAGGAGCATACATTAATTTAGTGCAGAAGTCTCCACACTTGCCTGGCTGTATACTCTGTCAGTAACACATGTGAGTGTGGACTCCATAAATACAAATGTTTAGAAATTTTGTGTGAGATATTCTCAGTCTACATACTAAATTTTAGTGAAACTTAATTTTATATAAAAAATACAAATACAATAAAATATATAGAGACCTGTAAGCATTTCTGTTGTTGACTGTTGAATCTAAAAAGCACAATAGCAACATCTGTGCTAAACCGTCTATTACATATTGAATATCCTTTGTATATATTCTTTATTATCATAGCTCCAGGTGCTCCTTCAGCTCCAAGGAGAGGGCGTGGGGGTCATCGGGGTGGCAGGGGAAGATTTGGTATTCGGCGAGATGGGCCAATGAAATTTGAGAAAGACTTTGACTTTGAAAGTGCAAATGCGCAATTCAACAAGGAAGAGATTGACAGAGAGTTTCATAATAAGCTTAAATTAAAAGGTAAGCTCTGATTTTTCTACTCAGAAAATAATCTTATTTGATCTGTGAATTATGGATGTTTCTCAGATTAGGTGTTTAATTTTGTATAATTCAGATTATCTGTCTTAACTTTTATGATATGTACCTTTGTTTGTCCTTAGAAGATAAACTTGAGAAACAGGAGAAGCCTGTAAATGGTGAAGATAAAGGAGACTCAGGAGTTGATACTCAAAACAGTGAAGGAAATGCTGATGAAGAAGATCCACTTGGACCTAATTGCTATTATGACAAAACTAAATCCTTTTTTGATAATATTTCTTGTGATGACAATAGGGAACGGAGACCAACCTGGGCTGAAGAAAGAAGATTAAATGCTGAAACATTTGGAATCCCACTTCGTCCAAACCGTGGTCGTGGGGGATACAGAGGCAGAGGAGGTCTTGGTTTCCGTGGTGGCAGAGGGCGTGGTGGTGGCAGAGGTGGTACCTTCACTGCCCCTCGAGGATTTCGTGGTGGATTCAGAGGAGGTGGTGGGGGTCGGGAGTTTGCAGATTTTGAATATAGGAAAGACAACAAAGTTGCTGCATAGTCTACAAACAAGTCTCTGAAAATAGGTGAATTTCTAGCTCTTCATGGTCCTGAAAATTGATTTCAGTCTTTGCGAAGAATGAAGAAGTGAATTCGCTGTACATTTGTCACCAGCACTGGGTTTTAGTTTTTTGTTTGTTTTTCCGCTTAATTTCAAAGATAAAATGCAGTTACTTTTGGGGGTGGAAGGCTCATCTTACAACATGAGCATTAAATATACTTGGAATAGCCGAAGCTTAAGTAATTTCTTATGTATAGTTAAACTAAAGCAGTACTTCAGTGGGACTTACAAGTATTTTTTCATCACTGAAAGGTTTTTTTAATCACTAAATTGTATTTGGCAGTTGCAAGTTGCCTGCAGATAGGGCCGTGATACTGTGTTTTGAGCCACAGAAGGTTGTGTGTGTATGTGCGCGTGTGTGTATGTGTGCGTGTGTGTGTCTTTTTCCTCCTTTCTTTTGGGGAATCCTGTAATATGAGGTAGCTTATTTCGTCAGTTAATTAGGGTGCTGGATGGTAGAGAATTTTGTCAGTCAACTATGTACACACAGTAAATACTGTTTCTTAGGCAAAGGTAACTTTTTTATATAGTTGTAAAATTCCATTATATTCCATTGCCAAAGAAACATTAAGAACTTTGTATAGCTGTATAAAAAGCAACTAATTTTTTAAAGAATAAACATTTTAAAGTCAGCAAACATACTGTGTCCTTGCAGAAGTTGATGCGCTGAGCAGCAGCATTATGGGTGGGTCTTTTTTTCTTAGTTTTCCAGGCTTAACGTTTTTTGATTTTGTTTTTTTAATGTTTGAACATAAATGAAGATTTGATACGTTCTTTCATTATCTAAAAAAAAATGATAAATTATTCATGCTCATTGTAAGAACTTCATTTTGTAGCAAATGGCATATCACAGGATCTGTCCAGATAATATTTTCAGTATACAAATGTAAATAATCATAAGATGAGAATGTACTTAGCTGTATTTTCAAATAAGTAAACCTCCCCCCTTTTTTAGGACTTTAAAACTAGGCATCAATGAACCTGTTTTTCCTATAATGCCTGGAATTTAGTCATGATACCTTGACTCATTCCATCATATTTCAAGAGGATTCAGAATGTGAGGAATTATCTTGGCAGCCTGTAACACATGGCACTACCGGTCCTTGGGCCTGTGACCCGCAGATGACTCAGTATAGAGTTCATTGTTAATTATAAACTACTAGTGAATCTTTTTGATATTTTAAGCACTCGTGGGAAAAATCTGGCCACTTTTGTGTTTTGATGAAGGCCATGGAATAAAAGGATCCAAAGATTTAAATATTTTTATCTATTTTGATTTTTTTTGTTAACTTTCTCCTTAAAACATTCAGTAGTGATAAAGATGTGGAAACTGCACTGTTGGAGAATTGGAATATTTAAAGCTGGTTGATATTTTTTATTTTAATTTTATATCTTTTATATAGCTCTACAAGGCAATGTTTTGTAATTTGGTTTCATTATTAAGATTCGGTACGGGGCAGCCATAGTTTAGATAGTATCGTTTAGTGCTGTTTGCTTGCATGTTAACAACAAAACCTTTTAGAGCACCCACAAATCATGACATTGAACACATTTCTGAGGCATTCAGAGCATCAAAGCAAGTGCTATGACAACACCTGTGTAGACTGTTTGAGATGTCCCCGGCGAATTTCAAGAAAGAAAACTGTAAATACTAGTTCCACTTGCTCTGAAAGTATGAGTTCATGCGTTTTCCCAGCCCTCTGAGTCACTGACTGGGGCATTTTGTGCCCCAACAATAACTGGCAGCATGGCATACCTGAGTACACTTTACAATATTAAAGCAAGGTTTTTATTCTAAAACAGAATAAAACTGTTCAATAAAAAGTGCTCGTCAAAGTTCTTTCTCTTTAAATAGTAACATTCTGTTTCAGTAGGAACATAATGAAAGGCATCTTTTAAATGGAAAAGGGGGAGTATGATAATGTTTGTATTCCCTGTAATAACTATAAATCAGTTACTTTATTTTTAAGATTGATTTATTGTTGCAGATGTTTAGGGAAAGCTAAAAGTCCCTTTCTTCCCCTCCTGAGTATAAAAAAAAATAGTTCTGAGATCAGATCTGTGACATGAGGAGACTAAGCCAACCAGGCACAGGCCAAGCTGGAAATAGGAGCCAGAACACACCCCCCATGGGAGATGCATGCAGAAGATGCAGAACCTGTCTATTAGAACAGTTCCCTCCAAAAGCTGGGCGTCGTGTGAGGGAAGGGCAAGAGGTCAGGAATGGTAGTGCAGCACAGTGGCTCTCTGTCGGGTTGACCTGATGTCCTAGGAACACAATCATCTGTTGCTTAATAATAGCGACATGTTCTTATTTTTTAATAGCAATGAGGTCTCACCTTGTTGCCAAGGAGGCTGGTCTCTTAACTCCTGGGCTCAAACAATCCTCCCATCTTGGCTTCCCAAAGTGCTGGGATTACAGATATGAGCCACCATATCCAGCCATGACACATTCCGAGAAATGTGTTAAGCGATGTCATTGTGTAGACATCAGAGAGTATACTATACAAACTGAGATGGTATGGCCTACTCCACACCTAGGCTATATAGTGTAGTCTGTTGCTCCTCCATGCAAACTACAAACTTACACAACACGTTACTGTGCTGAATACTGTAGGCAGTCATAACACAGGTAAATATGTCTGTATTTAAACATACCTAAACATAGTATATAGTAAAAATTGGGTATTATAATCTTTGGGACCACCGTTGTTTACACAGTCCATCGTTGACCAAAACATTATTAAGTGGTACATGACTACTGAGGAACCTGAGGGGATGTGTTTTGGTTGTCACAATGACTGGGGATCACCACTGCTATTTAAAAGTAAGGGCCCGGATGGTAAATGTCCTACGCAGTAGCACCGTCAGCATTGTTGAAACCCATTATCACGTAGGCGTTAGGGCTTCATTCTGTTCTCTGTCAGTGGTTCACAAATCTCTGGTCAGAATGTACCGAGTAGCTTTTTTTTTTTTTTTTTGGGAGACGGAGTCTCGCTGTTGCCCAGGCTGGAGTGCAGTGGCGCGATCATAGCTCACTGCAACCTCCTCCTCCCAGGTTCAAGCGATTCTCCCTGCCGTAGCCTCCCGAATAGCTGTGATTACAGGCACCTACCACCATGCCTAGCTAATTTTTTGTGTTTTTAGTAGAGATGGCGTTTCACCATGTTGGCCAGGCTGGTCTTGAACTCCTGATCTCAGGTGATCTATCTGCCTCAGCCCCACAAAGTGCTGGGATTACAGGCATGAGCCACGGCACCCAGCCCCAAGGAGCATTTTTAAGTACGGATTCCCAGGCCCCATGCCCAGAGAGTCTGATTCTGAAGTTCCCTAGTACAGCAGAACCCAACCATTTTGGCACCAGGGACTGGTTTTACCAAAGACAAGTTTTTCCACAGACAAGCAGGGGGATGGTTTTGGGATGATTCAAGTACATTATATTTACTGTGCACTTTTTCTATTACATTGTAGTATGTCATGAAATAATTATACAGTTCACCATAATGTGGAATCAGTGGGAGCCCTGAGCTTGTTTTCCCGCAACTAGACGGTCCCATCTGGAGGTGATGGGAGATAGTGACAGATCATCAGGTGTGATCAGTGAGTGCGCAACTGAAATCCCTCGCATGCACAGTTGACAGTAGGCTTTCCAGTCCTTTGAGAATGTCATGCTGCTGCTGATGTGACAGGAGGTGGAGCTCAGAAGGTAATGCTCGCTTGTCAGCCCGCTGCTCACTTGCTGTGTGGACTGCTTCCTAACAAGCCACAGACCACAACCAGTCTGCCGCCCAGTGATCAGGGACCCCTGCCCTAGTAGGTCTTAGGAATTTTTTTTTTTTTTTTTTGCGATGAGTCTCGCTCTATCGCCGAGGCTGGAGTGCAGTGGTGCAATCTCGGCTCACTGCAACCTCCACCTCCCAGATTCAAGCAATTCTCGTACCCCAGCCTCTTGGTTTTAGGAATCTTACTGATCCCACAGATAGTTGTGATTAGCTAGGTTTGGGAAGATGGCTATACAACACCAAAGCTAGCTCCTGCTTTGGGGGCATTAGTACATTTTTCACAGTAGAGTTATCTGGGCATTTTCCCCATCCTTTCAAACCCAGTATATCCAGATTGTGACTGGGGAATGAAGAGAGGACGGGACTTAGTGGAAAGGAGGGAACATTTTTGCAGGGTGGAATCGGGGGAAATGGAGAGGATGAGACTCAAGTTTCCTCCAGAGTTTGGGTGCTTTGCGTACTGAGTCTTACTTAAGTTTTTATTCCTGGCATAGGGTTTGTGTTCCTTCTGTGTCTTAATTTTGCATGGCAGTTGTCCCTGCCTCGGTGGGTTCTTTGCCAGTCAGAGAAGCCGCTCCTTCTGCAGGGCCCCTCTGTTCACAGCATAGGCTGAGAAGCAACTTCTTGAGAAGGGTAACTTAGGTGATCCAATTACGTCTGGATTCAGTGTGTTGCAGGATCCCCCTGCCCTGTTAGTTCAGAGATCAAGCTGTTTTACGTAGTGAAGGTGGGGAGAGTGTTATGGTATAAGTTAATCAAGGTGAATGATCTCTTCCTGTGGGAGCACAGATGTCACCAATTTGCTTTAGTTTTCCTGTTCCAACTGATTCTGGGTGTTTTTTGAGACAGAGTCTCGCTCTGTCACCCAGGCTGGAGTACAGTGTAGCGATCTTGGCTCACTGGAACCTCTGCCTCCGAGGTTCAAGTGATTCTCCCCTCCTCAGCCTCCCAAATAACTGGGATTACAGCCATGTACCACCCAGCTAATTTTTGTATTTTTAGTAGAGACGGATTTCACCCTGTTGGCCAGGCTGGTCTCAAACTCCTCACCACAGGTGATCCACCCACCTCAGCCTCCTGAAGCGCTGAGATTACAGGTGTCAGCCACCATAAATGGCCTGTTCTGTTTTTAAAATATAACAAGTATTAGCAAAATTGGAATCAAACTTAGGGAAGTATTGTAGTACCATTAATCTGTCAATCTGAAGACACTAAAAGGAGATTTGCTTAGCAGCCTGGTGGAGAGACAGACAACTTGGAAGTGGTATCCTCCAAACAGAAATTGGTCAAGGAAGGAAAGTGAGAGAACTTTAAGCAGCAGAGGCTTAGAAGCCAGCCAGCCAGCAGCCAACTGTGCACATGCGTGCATTGGGAAGCTAGTGGTCCAGGGCCCAGGCACTGCTCCCATGGGATCCATCCCAGCCCTCTAAGGAGCAGTGCAAATGTTCTTACCCTATTTATCGGAGCCAGTGTCCAGTAAAGGAGGCTTGTGGTTTGAGACATTCTATCAATCTAGTTCCAAGAGCATGAGATAGGACTCTGAAAATGATGTGGTTTCTTTACTCGGAGATGGTACAGAGCTGTGAGCCAGTGGTATGGTGTTCTTTAAATTCCAGCTCGATTCACTAGTTAATGAACTTAGCTGACTGATAAAAATGTTTTCAGGTTTAGCTCATCAACATATCAACAGATAGACATCATAAGTCATATAATCATAACACAAACATATCAGCATAGACCTGAATATAATTCCAGTTCATCGTGAATGTTGATTATTGAGGAAATGGTTTAAAATATACGGATGCCCATGTTGTGGTTTATAAGGAAACAAAGCAGCTCTGTGAGGCCAAAGCATATTTCAGTTCAATAATAAGGCTTTCTTAGAAAGAATGACTCATAGTCACTCACAGTTGGGTCGCACAGAAACAACTGAGAGCAGACAGCAAGGAACGCAGGGCCCAGAAGGTCCAGCCTCTCCCTCCAGGCTTGAAGGGTTAGGGAAGATCGCCAACCTTGAAGGGGGTGTGAGAGGCCTAGGCCCAGGTGAGATTGTACTGAATTCCAGTAAATGGTGTACAGTCATTCCAGGACAGAGGACAGAAACATGTTTACTAGGTGCCTGGAGTGCACCTTTGTAATCCTCGTATGCACTTAATCCAGATGATCCACGGATGCTGGCCTCACGCAAGGTTGTTGATGCGAATGCAAATCCCAGCATTGCAATTCAGGATGTTGCTTGTGCTGAAAGCATTCTGTCAGTGTTTTCATTGGGGGTTAGCTGGGTGACAGTTCTCCCTCTGATCTATTCGCAGTACTTAATAGAGTTTCTTTGATTTAAAGTGGATATGTGGAACATTGCAGGCTGCAATTTATAAAATAGAATTAGGTATGTATTATCATCATAAAAGCAATACATGTAGAAAGAATGCAGGCTTCTTGTCTGATTGGGTGGTATTTTTAAAAAGAAAAAGAATGCAGGCAGTGTAGATGATTTTTTTTTTTAAGAAAAGAGAAGAAAAATTCTCTAATCCCACCACCCAGAGCTGACCATGTTAACACGATTTGGATGTATATTCTGCCTGGCATTGTTCTGTACAGGCACATGCTTTTAAGCAAAAATGGATTTGGCTGGGCACAGTGGCTCACGCCTGTAATCCCAACACTTTGGGAAACCAAGGCGGGCAGATCACTTGAGGTCAGGAGTTCCAGACCAGCCTGGCCAACGTGGTGAAACCCCTTCTCTACTAAAAATACAAAAATTATTAGCCAGGTGTGGTGGTGAGTGCCTGTAATCCCAGCTACTTGGGAGGCTGAGGCAGGCGAATCACGTGAGGTCAGGAGTTTGAGACCCGCCTGAAACCCCATCTCTACTAGAAAAATACAAAAAAATTAACCAGGCGTGGTGGTGCATGCCTGTAATCCCAGCTACTAGGTAGGCTGAGGCAGGAGAAATGCTTGAACCCAGGAGGCAAAGGTTCCAGTAAGCCAAGATCATGCCATTGCACTCCAGCCTGGGCAATGAGAGTGAAACCCTGTCTCAAA